TGAAAAGGTGGTATATAAATAAAGATTACTACTACTACTTACTTACCAAGAACAAACTCCACTCAATGTGCCAGCTTTAAGAGTGACCTTGTAAAGCTGGGGTGTCCAACTTTTCCCCCGTATAAGATACATTATGTCTTGTAAAAATAAGATGTAGGGAAAAAAATCTAATCACGACACAATATCTTCATCTGATTAGAAAACATATCTTTTGCCTAATCGTATTTGCCTCTTTGGGCTCTTTGAGTGATCCCACTGTCTGAAAAAGCTGATCTAAATATGAGACAGAGGCCAAAAAAACATGCATGTAAAAATGTGATAGAACACAAATGTTTTAAAGACAGGAACAAGTTAGATTTTCTTATTAGACATTTGTGTGGTTTGAACATATCCTTTTTTAACTGTAGTATATGTCTCTGAACATGCAATAAAGGGCAGTCCAACCTTGTCTGTCGTCATCACATGTTAAAGTTGCGAGCGTCTGCTTTTGAATGACTGTTTCATTACAACCGAGTCTGGATCACTGCATTCAGAGTTGGACAGAGTGACGAGTGCTGAAAGGGACGCCCCAGTGTCGGTGTTTAATGTGACAGGTGCCAGGTGTGCTGTACAGGTGAAGATCTGCCTTTAGATGACTCACAGCTGACAACTGATCCTCCTCCGCAACTCGAAACCTCACACACTCTCTCTGCTGCACTCAGCCATCACACACAACAGTGCCACATTATGCTACAATGTTAAAGGATAAAGCAATTGCAGCGTGTTGAAATTGTAGAGATTAGATTAAATAACTTTATCTGTCCCACAGCGGGGAAATGGAAGTGTTGCCAATCACATAACTAAATAAATAGTTGGAAGACAAAAAGGCATTCTGTTGACCCTGCCATACAAATCTACTAGAGCTACTTCAAATATACAGTAGATTCAATGCTCACATGTGATCTTAAAGGTCAGACACCTTTCTTGGACTTACTAAATTAGAATTCCTATATTTACTGGCAAAAATGGGATAATTGGGCCACATTTCAATACTATTGTGATTTCTTAACATATTGCGAACAGTATTGCGATTCGATTCTGCGATATCCATTGCGATCTATGTCCCTCATATTACTTACATAGAAAAGGGAATACAAAAATTAAGGAAAATAAGAGTGCTGAACTAAAATGCCACATTTATTTTGGTCTGCACATTAACTGTAGTGCAAAAACTTGATCCTTGAACATTCAGGACTCAGGACAAGACATCATTCTTCTCTGAATAGATGAATGGTGAGATCACAGCACAACACTTAACTATACCAATACAATAGACTAGAGAAACAAAAAGCTGACATAAAAGAGTAACATTAACCTCAGATGTAAATGACCAGAGTAAACTCCAAGAAAACGCAAAACTGAAACAGATAATTATTTAATTAAATATTCGAACACCTTGTTTTATTTGTTCGTTTAACGGCGTGTGAAAAATATCCCGAAGCTCAACAAAAAGAATTCACGCAAAGCAAACTAACCCAAACTACAGCCCGAAGAACACTGAGTCTGACAGGATATACCAGCAGCCAAGAAAATAGAAGTTTATTATATTTTGTGGAATATTTTTGTTTTCCACAATGATGTGACATGTATTTGAAAAAGTCTAAAAGTATGCATAATCACACACGTAAGAATATGTTCTGGAAACAACAAGAATCATGTTGGAAGTTTATATCATTATGAAATTGTTTCTCAACGTTGTCAAACTAGTAAAAAGTACTTGAGAGTTCTGCACTTAATCGGAGGCTACACATAAGAGCAAACTGAGCTCCCTGTGAAGACGAAATGTGTTTTAATGTGGTTTTAAGACAGAGATCTTTAAAAATATTATAAATGAATGCGAATGGAGGAGGGGGTCGTCAGCGAACCATGACACTTCAGACATATGGACGGCCGCAGAGACACGAGGGGTGCGCAGAGACGAGTCCAGCTGTTTGTCCATCCTCACTCTGCCGTAATGAGCCCATGTTTGGGTCTGTGGAGCATCGCCAACGCCTCATCTAACTTCTCCAAACTCTAACAAGCCAAACTGCTATTTAGATTTACCTCCTGCCGCTGCTGAACCGGACCCAAACAACTAAGCACATAACAGCGTGGCGCTCCCTTAAATGGACACTTTGACATTTTGATTTTTTTGCTGTTTATTTTTTCTTGAACAGACACTTGTCAGCATGTGGGGAACATTTCTGTTTTGAAGTTTCTTTAAAATAGACTGGCTGCATTGTTAGTGTTGCTGAGCATGTCTTCCACTCGCAGCCTGCTGTGCCCTTTGGCTGAAATGAGAGAAAGCTTGTGTCCTTTAGAAATTTACCTGGAGATAGCCGCAGCCACATGCAATGCCACTTCCTTGATTACAGCCCCTGAGCCCCCACCCTCACCTAAGCCCCACCCTCACCCTGAGCCCCCACCCTCACCATGAGACCAGTGCATCCACAGCACAGTCTCCTCTCTGTCTTAATGGGATGTCCTGTTTCATGCCAGTGGGATAATTTTAGATTAACCTTATTAGTGCATTTCATTTCCTTCTCTCTGAATTACAGTTTTAATTAATCTATCTATAAAGCAAGGAGTGTCTGCTTCTGTTTGTTACGCAAATAATTGTGTGGATGTTTGTCAGATTTACCTAATTCATCGTTGCATGGCACAATGGCGTGCATCCATAAATTTGACTTTTTTAGCTATTCATTTTCAAAACATTTATTTTGATATGTACAATGCCAAATTACGGAGCACTGAGAGCAGACAGGCACCAGTGCATTTGAGACGGTGAACAGACGCCAAACATTTAGAGCTATAAAATTGGAACAACTTTCACGAAAGGACGAGGAGCTTTTTAATGTGAGTTTTTCCTCTTGCTTTTTGTGATTGCTAGTGCCCTGGTCCTTTCCACATCATCTCCTGTCCCCGCTCAGACCAGCCAGGCCTGACAGCTGACTTTAGAACCGAGGCTTCCTAAGACTAAACTGCTTTCCATTTGCCAGCAACAAGCACAAAATCTAAGACCGTTTGGGAAGTTTAAATGTGTTCTGCGCGCCATAAAATGTTAATAAAAAACGTGAATCAGTCTTGCATTTGCAGTTCCTCACTACACATGCAGCAGTAGGATTCTTATAAACTAGGCAAATAATATAAAACAAATTATAGCCCAGTGGTTTAAAAGTATTAGGACTAAACCAGGTCTGAAGTGCAGGGCTGAAACTGAAGCCAAATGCATGTGTGATCCTCTTACCATCCCAACAGCAGCATTCACACACTTCCTTCACTTACAGAGATTAGTGTTGGTCTGTGACACTCTGCAAACAAACCCTGATCCGTTTAAGACATCTGCACTTTACATGAAACAATATTCAAACGGAGCAAAAGGTCAGAGCTCCAGGGGATGTCATAACACTCACTGATGAAGTAAGGCGCATGTATCGATAACTACGTTGTTTTGATTCAGCTCACCTTCACATAACTTTATCCTCGCTCAGATTTTAAGATAGATTAAACACTGAGAGGAATCATTTTACTCATTCGAAGTTCATGTCCAGTCTTTTGCAGTGTGTGATCTGTGATACTGAAGTGAGAACACACATACTGATCTTTCACTCATTTCCTAGACACAGGACACAATATCATAAAGAGAGGACCACATTTTCCAAACAGCGTACGTTCAAACCCAAAAAATTTTTTTTAAAGATCAAGTATGTCAAGCGACAGAACTACGTTGAGAAGGGAAGAAGTGAAAAATACCGTTTGTCCAAGTTGAGATAGCTTCACATTTGTCGTTATGTTGGATCCATAAAATCAATAAAGTATACAAGCTTCTGTTTGTCTTGCCGTTCCTCACCGTTCTTTGATTGGTCCAAATCCATGGAAAAATGTTACCCGAGTTTCCAGGCTGTTGTTCAGCTCTAAATGATTCTAGCGCACACAGCACGGGTATTCCTAAAGTACATTTCATTTGTTCCTGGCTCTCTAAACAGTTTGGTTCTAGCTCTAGTTTCCAGCATTGGCATCTTTATCAAGATCACATCTTTAAATTTGATTTTTAGTTATAAAAGTGAACCCACTCAACCCAATGCCCATTTTGACAGTATTAATTTTACAATACAAATTTAAATAAAACAAAATAATAGTTGATTCGTTGTTTAATTAATGTAATCTATTTGATGATTCCTACACAAGTCCATCGCTGGAGGAGTTCTGATCAGGATTTCAGATTCTTCAGATTAGGACTGGTCTATCTGGGAGAAGATCAGAATCATGACTGACAATAGTTCTGGAGCAGCTCTGAAGATAATAACAGACAAATAATGTTTGACGACAAAAAAAATAAATAAAAAATAGCTGCAGTCCTAATCACAATTTACCAAAGTTAAGATTGAAATGTTTCGATTCTTGGCACCTCACTTGAAATATACAAATTTATTTTGGGGATATTTTGGAGCCTTTTCTCTAATGTGATGCCACTGGATAATAACTCCCCATTACATTAATGATCTAAAAATAGACACGTCTGAGTAAGTTCAACCAGATGCCTCTGTGTGATGACTGTGCACCACACTCACTAAGATAAAACACATTGACCATCTTTGGACCATGTCTATATTTAGATATTAGAATGTTCTAAGTGGTGCATCCAGAGGCAAGTAAGTAGTTTGATAAAGTTTAAGGCAGATGTCACTGAAAGTTACAGTCCAATCGTGAAATGGAAATACAGTAAAAATCAGGCGCTGAGAGAGCCAATGCTTTTTGGATATGGATTTGCTGTCATCAATTACAAACCTGAAAATGTGCTGTGGAACTGTGCTGAGAAACAAAAGGAGGAATTACAGATCCATGTGCACGGCCGTTACGCAGAGGACAGTGTGTCACCCACTGGGTGAGCTCCAGCCTCGCTCTCACCGAGCCCCCAGAGCATCACTGGCCCCTCACTCTTTCACACACACGTGTCCCAGACGTGGACAGGTCTCACTCACCGGGTGAATAGAGCCTCGCTAGCTGACGGGCCCCAGCGTGTTGAGGACCCCAGCGGGGAGCGCAGCTGCGCGCAGCCGCTCCGTGCTCGTTCCCATTCGGATCCTCCTCCGCCATAGACCGGTGCCTGATGTCGGTCTCGGAGAGAAGTGACGCCGCCATGACTCGCTCCACTGCCCGCTGTGGCTTTCAGCTGCTGCTCATCAAACATACATGAGGATTGGAGCCGAAGGAGGCTTTAGTTTGACTCTTTTACTTTGAGTCCGCGGAGGACAGAGGACAGGACACCGCGGAACCAGCAGATGATGCTGGAGGAAGCACCGGAAATCCACACACAGACTATTACCGTTAAAGCAACACTGCACCTGCTATAACTGTACCTGTTATAACTGTACCTGCTACTACACTGTTACCTGCTAATAAACTGTATCATGCTTTTACAATGTACCTCCTATTAAAATGTAGCCTGCTATAATGCTTTATAACACTGTAACCTGCCAAATGTGACATGTAAATTTCACATTACATTTTACAGTGTACCTGCTATTCTCTGTATAACACTGTACCTGCTATCACATCGTGCTATTACTCTGGATGACACTGTAAACTGCTTTTACACAGTATAACCTAAACCCAGAAGCACATGCAAAACTGAAAGTGTCTAAAAATGTTATCAAATTTATAATGTATATCTGTGTGTTTGTGTTATTTAGAGTGGGACCATGGGCACTTTTTTTTGACACTTCATATGGCATTTTTCATTCACTCCGGACATAGTGGGGGTAAAGTACTGTAGCTACTGTAGCCATAGCTGCCCCAGTTTTGTTATGGCTGGCAGAACAGACTGGCAGACGTGAGGCAAACAGTTACCAGTCCCTCCCACCACCAATCCTTGATTTGATTCATTTGCCTTTGGGACAGTGCACATTAATCCACATGTCCATATGAAGATGCCAGGTTTCACCATGGAGACAAGTTTCCATTTGTAGGAAAGGTTGTGTCTTGCCGAAGGACACAATAACAGTTTTTCACTTAACAATCACATCATTTTCATACTTGGCGTTTCCAGAGGTCTCCCATTCCAGTGTTAACCAGGCCTTTCACGTGTCTGATGATCGAACGGGATAAGGCTTTCTAATCTTCTCACATTATTTTGACCAATGAGGTGATATTGATTGTTTCCAAAATAGACTGCTAACCCAAAGTAGTAAAATTGCTACATAAGCTCTTGATCCAAGACCCAGCTTCCCAAAAAAGGTTTCCCTAAATATTTGTTTCATTGATTTTAGTTGTCCACTTATCTCTTTCTCCACAATTCAAGGTTAGTGATAGGCACAATAGAACAGAACTATTATGCTTCAAAGAAATGGATAAAACACAAACACTCTTGTTTTGTCAAGTATTTATTTGTTTATCTTCCGTCTGTAGTAGATTTTTGCAGTCTGGTTAATTCACATTTAAAAAGCAGTTATTGACCAGGCGCACTCAAAACAGAAGATTTCAATTTTTACAATAATCAGTATAGGCCCCATACAGACTGGAAAACCCACTCCAAAAAAGAAACATCTGTATCAGTTTCTGCTCTTTATTTTCATTTATTTTAATAGTAGTAATTACAAAAAGGAAAAAAAAAAATATAGTAATCATAAAAATGAGTTTCAGGGGAAAAGAAGTGGCAAACAATCACAACACAGCACAAGTACCTACTTACAAAGAAAGGAATGGTATAAAACTAAAACTGTAAACTGGATAAAATAACGTCGATGAGGTTGAATACAAGAAGCAACATAAAGACAAAGTAAAGTCTACAAAAAACATCATAATAAAAATAATAAAAAGTGTTCTCTTGCTTTTTTCATTGTACATTTGATAATAAAATAAACGGATAACCTGGAGAGGGGAGGGTGATGGTAGGGGCAGTGGGACAATAAAAATACTGCACGTACAATACCTTTAAACTCCTTTCTCTCATCTCGCTTGCACTGGTTTGCTCACCCACTTTTGCTTTTTCTTTATTTAATAGCATATCCCATTAATATTCCTTTTCCCGCTGCTCCTAATAGCCGCACCCAGTGGTGCGATCGTTACAGTTTTACATGTGAGTAGCAAATGACACTTTGATTGGCTGTGATGTGGAGATGGGGGTCCCCTGCCGGCCGCGGGTCGGGGGCCCTGGGCTGAGCCGAGAGATCCTGCCAGGCCACGGTCTCACTGCGCGTGCTGACTCAGCGTGTGGTTCTGCAACAGACAGACAGGGAGAACACATGAGGAGAGCAATAATGGGCTTTCCACTCGCCCCCCACCCAATAATAGAACAGAACAGAAGTGAAACACAACTGCCTCCCACAGAACCACCAGGCCCGTTCACTTTACACACAAACAGTGACGAAGACACGATGCTCCATGTCGTGTCGCATGTGCCATTGTTCTCGGAACGTAGAGCGCACTTGAAAATGTAGTGAGCCACAAATGCACTTGATCTGGAGGAAACGCACTATGAAGACATCAGACATGGAGGTCCACGTTTTGTTCCCTGAATAGTTCTTCAAGGTATCTCATAGTATTTGTTCACTGTGCGCCTTTTTGTTTATCCAGATGTGTGAAATCCCTGTGTCTTTAAATAACGTGATTAACATTTTACAGACAGCATCTATACCTCCGAGACACACACACTCGTGCTCTCTTAAGGCCTACAATGCACTCCACATAAATGCATAAACACAATGCAAAAGCACTGTTTTTAGAAATTAACATTCAACACAGCAGTAGTATGGCGCTCAAAGGGAGTCTGATGCTGCAATCTCTTTAGGTATAAACAAAAGAAACATTAGGATGCAGAAATAAAGTCATTGATAGAAACAGTTTTAGTACGAGATCATTTTAAGAGAGAGTGAACTGTCTGTTATTCTGGTTGTGTGTGTTCCAAATACTGTACGGAACATCTGCTGGAGGTACAGAAGAATGTCACTGCATGTAATGTGTATGTGACAAACAATAATACACTAAAGCACTGGCTTCCTGTGGCTCAGAGAATAGATTTTAAAACAGCTCTGCTTGTGTACAAGTCTCTCCATGGCCTTGCACCAAAATACATTAGTGACATGTTGGTGTCATATGAACCAGCCCGGACTCTGAGGAGCACAGGGACTGGCCTCCTGCTGGTGCCCAGAGTGAGAACCAAACATGGGGAGGCTGCGTTTCAGATCCATGCAGCTAAGATCTGGAACAATCTCCCTGAAAATGTGAGGGAGGCGTCTACTCTGTCAATGTTCAAATCCAGGTTAAAGACTGTTCTGTTTGCCTGTGCATACAACTGAAGGATTTTATCTCAATTTCTAATGCACTGTTGTCATTTATTTATTTATTTTTTTTTTTTATTTTTTTTTTTTATTTTGAAAGTTTTAATGGTTTTATTCTTTTGTGTGATTTTAATGTTTTAATTGTGTTTTAATCTTTTGTGTGATTTTAATGTTTTAATTGTGTTTTAATCTTTTGTGTGATTTTAATGTTTTAATTGTGATTCTGGTGTTTGTTTTATGTGATGATTTGTGATGTGGACTGAAGCGCTTTGTGTTGCCCTGTGTATGAAAGGCGCTCTACAAATAAACTTTGATTGATTGATTGATAAAGTAAACTTACGGGAGACTTATAAAGATTCCACAATACAGACATCAACTCTTGTTACCATCAGAATTTCAAATACTCGTGACAAAAGTAACTGAGGTTTTCATGTATGTCTGAGAGTCCGTACAAACACTATTGTTGCCATATTAATTTACTCCAACTCTCTAATCTTATTTATCTATTTAAGTAGCTTTTCCCCATACCTTTTGGCAGCAGTATTTATCTTCAGTGTAAAAACGTATTGTATCATTTTTAGCACTGCAATAGGGCCAAAATGAGAACATGACTTTACAAACTTCACATCATGCTGTCCTTTCCAAAATTGTAAACGGGAAAATCATCGTCTGCATAAATGCATACAAGAACCGTAAATTAGTTTCCAAAATGAAGACACTCCACAGCTTTGCACACACATCTGAATCTATCCAAACAATTGTCATTCTGTCCATGTGGTAGCTCAGGATAATCTGAATATTCCATTTTATACAAAGTTGAAGATTAGGACTATATCAGAATGGGAATGACCGTGTTGTCCCTATAGACCAGCTTTGGCCTCAAAATTCCCCATACCCCTTTCCCTCTCGCCACCACTAAAAGCAGCTTTCTCAGATTAATCACCCTCCCTCTCAGAGGCCAGTATGGAATATAGAGGGGAAAACAGGACAAAAAGAACAGTGGAGTAGAAAAAGGAGGGGATAGGGGGATGAAGAGAGAACAGAGGGGATTATACGTGCTTTGGGCTCGATAAATACTTATTTGTCATTATGTGGCCTTATCTTGTGGCCCATGTTTGGCTGATCCGGTCTGAGAGTGTGGGTTTGTCACTTGGATTCACAGGCCTGGTCTGCGTGTCCAGGGGAAAGGCCGAGGACTCGACACAAACCAAACAGGCTAAACTTAACACAAGAGGACAAAAAAAATGAGTGGTGAGAGTTTGAGCCTCCAGAGTGGGAAGGCGGTGGTCGTTGGGGAGCGCTGACCCCATTATGACAGAAAACCCTCCATTCTTTCACCAGTGCTGGTCTCACATGGCTGTCCATGTGTAAGAAAGTGATGTCGAATGTGGAGGATATTATGGCACCGTCTATTCAGTTATTAACGTAGACGTGTCATCTTTGATCTGCAGTAATCATAGACTGTATTGGGTAGTAATACATCGCAGCAATCTCTACATTTTGTATTTGTTTTTCTGGTTTGTATTTAATCAATGAACATGAAGTTATTTATGGTTAAAAGGTCAAATAAATGGGAAAAGACCATGCAGCTGACTAATAATGTGTGTCCCGCATGTGTATGGGGACTATACTTAACCATGGTTATTACACATCAACATTATCTTGAACTGAGACTTTGGTATTTCATTTTTTAGGACTTGAAAGAACGTCTGTGAGTAGACAAGCATAAATGTCAGAACAGCCTTGCCAGGATGATAAATTGGTGGCAATAGGAATTAAAACTTGCAATGAACGCAATTTTTGGAGTTAGCATGTTACTTTAACTTTCAGATCTAAGAGCTAGATTAGTGTTAGAATACTTGTGGTTTAAGATTATATAAGGTTAGGGCAGAATTTAAGATCATCAATTTAAATTTTCACACACTCACTCAGATGTGTGGTATGATTATAACATTCTTAATTTTGTCCACTGTTATTGCTCTAAAATTGTTACTGGACATTACTATATCTGCTTTCTGCTTATCCACCAGCAGAGGGTAGTCTCATTCCTCTGTAGGACCACTGTTGTGAATGGAGCAGTCAGCGCTGTACATTTCCACAGGTCTGGCCTTCATCATTACACACTCCTGTGCTCCTGTGTGATCTCTGACACCGGGGGTCACATGTCAACGTTGAGAACTGCGAATGGAGGGAAACTTCCTGCTGCAACAAAAGACCAAGAGAAGTAACCAAGGAAGAGTGTGAGCTTTTGCTGTGGGCTTCTACGGCTGCTGTATTGATTTGTAGACAGAGAGAAAGACGGAGGGGGGATGGTGAGGGGGTGCAATGGAGGGAGGCCATGGACAGTCCCTTGAGGATCCCCTGACACTGCGGCGAATATGGCCTAGAGGAAAAGAGCCGGAGTGCAAGGGCTGGGTGACACGTTCCCACAACTCCTGCTTACTTGTCTTCATTTCCATTGTTTTTGGGAGCCTGCTATTGATTATGCAGTGGAGCGATCGATCCGGAGTGTGTGTCGCAGTGTGACATGGCTCTACAGCAGAGTAATTGATATATTCTACAGAAGTTAGAGCTGACAGGAGAGGGGGGCAGGACTGTGGACATTTAATATGTGTAATATTCTGGTCCGGCGAGAGCTCTCCTCGACTCTAAATAAAGAGGTGGCTAATGAATCAGCTGCAGATGTTTCACAATAAAAGCCCCGCAGCAAAGTGAAGGCGTGCATTTCCAGGAATCAGTTTAATGTGGAACAGATGAGGATGGCTCTGGCTCAAACATAAGCAAGGGTTATTATGAAGGACAAAGACGCTCAAAAAAGGGGTTAAATAATGTCTTACTTTACATCCACATTCTCTTCATTGACAGCTGTAGTTTACAACAGAGTAGAGCACACCAACTCTGACAGCTTTAGTTGTATGGATGAAAAGATGCATCTACAGTATATGACAGAATATTGAATGAACAGGCCTGGCCGAGTGCATCTAACCCGACACAGACAGAACTACTGGTCAAAGCCACACATTGCTTTCAATTTAAATGACAGTGAATGCATTTGTCTAGAAGGAGGAGAAGCACTGGTCGATACAGGGTCCTGTCATTGTTTTTTCCTAAACTGCTTAGAGGGAGTGCAGCTAAAGCCTGCAGAGCCTCAGACCCAGGGGAAATATGGCCCTGTCGCATAACCCACGCTTCGCACTGCCCCCTCCCAACCACACACCAGAATGCATCTAACTCCCCGCGTGCAGCATATGCATACAGACAGCAAATGCAAACGGGAAAAAATGCAAGAATTCCAACACACAACAATCCAGTGGAATACACAGGGTCTCCTGAGACAAAAAGAGGGGGTGAAAGGACCAGGGACAACCCTGATTCAGAGCCAAAGTGTGAAGGGCAACAGAACACCTGCCTCATATGTGATATATTTGTGTTGAAAGAAAAGCTAGTTTTTGGATTTTATTACATTGTTAATTTTTTGTGGTTTCAAAGTTAGGTACTCCAGCTTTAAAACGGCAGTGCTTGTTATATTGTATTTCAATGATCATTAAGATATGATTTCAACACTCACTTATCAGACTCAATACATGAAAACAAAGCCAAACTAAAGTGAAGTCTGTTGCTATGATGTAGCAGCATGGACAGAAGCACACGGCTGTACGCAGCACTGAGGTCCAGGACCACTGAGGTCAATGAAGGATGGGTTCAGCGTTGTGGTCCAGACCGCAGTATTTTTTTAACATTACTTATAACTTGTATTCATATTACATGATCATATTACATATTGAATGGGCTGTTGATCTTCAAGAGCCTTTTATTTATTAACCTTGAAGCCTACGTCTTAAAGTTACAATGACATTATTTGTATAATGTAAATCTACTGTATAATGTACTGTGAGGATTAGATAGCTATTTGGCCTACGTGCAGGACAACTGCAAGAC